TGTGTGTCTGTGTGTGTGTGTTCTGACCAGTGGGTGCCCCTGGGCGGTAGTAATGTGGACTTTGAGATCTAATCGTTGTCTCAGCTCAGAAAGGGAAAGCTTTTGTTTGAGTGGAAGTTAAAAGAGGACGCTGTGGGACAGACGCAAGCAACCAGCAGAGTCACAGGGGAAGTTAATACGCTGCACACACACTCTCACACACATCTGCTGTCTAAAAACAGAAAGATTTATTGACATAATGAGAAGATATCTGAGATTTTTAGAATAGTTTTGCTCTCTGTATTGATACTGTGTTACCGTTAAAACAGTCTTCTGGATATTTTCGGCAGTTTGTGGTCAACAAGCAAAGCCGCTGAACACACCCGTTTGCTTGTTTGGGGCCCCTGAGGTCTGAGCCCGGCTGATAGAAATACTGATAAGTTTGGTTATTTGAAGTTTCAGCTGAGATGTCTTAAACATCTAGTAGCTTGTTTCTAAAAATACACCATGACATGAAATATAGTCACTGAATCATTGATGAGAGGGGAAATATTTTCATCGTGTGGGTTGTAGAAGTAACGTGCAGGAGTGTCCGTGCAACTTTAATGCATTTAGATCTCCGTGTTGATTTTATAGAGTTTAGGCTGTTTTGAAAAGCTGACAGTTGAATGTCTTCTGCAGAGAATCGACAGATTTTAAAATTCAAGATCCTCAAATTCAAGGGGGGGGGGACAAAGAAGGGAACAGGGATCAGTCCAGAACGTCAGGCTCATAGTCACGGATGCAAATATAAATTAGCCACAGACCAGCGGATCCAGGAGATTTTGCAAAACAGAATATTTAACAGGCCCTTCTTATTCCTCAACTTCATGGGTCATTGTGGACTTCTGGATGTGAAGCTGTGCTCTCTGGCAGCAACCACAGATTCAGATTAAACTTAAGATGATTAGCTCTGAAAATTCAAGCACAAAGGGAACGTATGAGCTGTAGGTCTGCTTTGCCATGGGGCAGGCCTGCAGCCATGAGAGGCTTTCACTTATGTATGAGAAAGATTGTGCTTTATTATGTAAAAAGCCAATTAACTGTGAGTTTTTAATTACATTTCTTATGGTATACTGTGTGAAGCTTCCAATCATCTCTGCAGTCCTTGCTCTGTTGTCTTCTTCCTTCTCAGAATAGCTGAAGAGGAGGAGGAGGAGGAGGAGGCGGCAGGAGCTCAGGATTAAATGATCAGCAGGGCCGACAGAAATGAGGATAACAAAACGGGAAAGATGCATTTGGGAGTGGTCAAACTAACCACACGACTCCCTCTCTGCTCTTTATCCTCGCATCGTTCCCACAATCCCCACCTTCTCTCGTCCATCCCTCCTCCCGCAATGACCGCAAGGTGAAACCCGAACCCTGAAATTACACCCGCGTCTCCTCTCCTGCCCCTCGACCCCCCTCTCACCCTCTGAACAGTGAGAGTGTGGGAGGATGAGGTGAGAGGCGGCGAGATCCCGCGCAGCCATCAGTCATGCCTCTCTTTTTGCCATTCAACACCTCCTGATAATGCGAGCAGGGAAAGACAAGGCGGGTTCATTCTTATAATGTCACTGATCACTGGAGACGAGCTCTGAGGGAGGAGTGCCACTTCATTTGCACCGAGTGTGTGAGGCACTGATGAGTCCGAGGCAGCTGGTTTATACAAAAACAATAAAAAAAGCACACACAAAAAAGGAGGAAGTTCAGTGATTTCTCCTTTTTCACAGCGTGAGATCTAAAGCTTCAGCAAAGAGGAGTTGGTAGCGGCGGGGACTGTAGTGATGCTGAAAATACATTTAAAAACTAACCTAAATAAAGCTCGCTGAGTAGAGTGACAGTTGTTTTTACGCTCACAGACAAGTGTGTGTTTGTGCGTTCAAAGCCAGCAAAGACAGGTTAATGTAATCGTGCAGGGATCAGATGTACAGCCCACTGCTACACTCTGCTGCTGTATTACAGTCGTAACAGTGCAAGAAGTCTGCAAAGATTACAACCTCATTTACAGGAGGCGCAGCAACACAGAGATTTTATCCACTCAGAGCTCGATATGATGCATTCACACTCCAAGCCATGCTCAGTATTCAACCACACAATAGGTAAAAAAACAGATAAAATATGACCCACAATAAAAAGTTCGAGGAAAACCCACAAGAAAGCCTGCTTATTTATTCCAAAGTCTTTACAATTCATCTGAAAAAGAAACTGCGTTAATCATGGCATTTAAATCAATATGATCTGGTAGAATGCTCTGTATAATAATATATATATATATATGTCATATAATGTAGTGATACAAAAATACAATGCAAAATTCTCGTATAGCTGGATAAATTGTCAATATAATTTACATTGCAGTGCAATAAAATGCAGGATCAGTTAAGAAAGCAACATCTAAAGAGGGCCTCCTCAACGGACTGCTGACATGAATGATGGTAAAGGCAAGTTCTTGTATTATTCTTTGGCACCAACATGTTCGTACGTACAGCTGCAAGCATAAACAGAGATGAGATGCACCTCTGTAACCACAAGAAGATGGAAGAGATAAGTTCACCAAACATCTGCATCGCCAAATGTTCTCTGACGCCTGGACTGTTACTCTCTTTGTCTGTCAGAAATGTGTGCTCATCGCGCTGTTCCTGCTGCACCTGGCCGCCCATCTCTTTGAACACGACTTAAGCAAACACACACACACAGTAGCTCAGTTAATCACGCACATATATTGACATCAGTTTGTGTCTCATTTAACCCGGAGGCGTCAGTGCATGAATGCTGGAAAAACTGGATTTTGACCACTCGCCGCAGTGCACGAACACGGCGCTGGGGTCAGAGGCGCTACTGTCGTAGCATGCAAAGTAAGGTTAGGAGGTAGGGTTCACTCCTGGGACAGGTGAAAATGCTTTGATGTGTCTGTGCCCTGCAGGCCTGAGTGCAGCTGAACTGCAGTTCTTTACTGCCTGAACCAGAGTCTCCACATTCATCAAACATCCTCTGTCACCTCAGCTCTACAGGTTTGTTTTCCACAAAAATGTGCTTTTTCAAATATGTTTGTCTTCATAATTTTTGCATGATGTGATGCATCAATGCAACTGAGCCTTAATTAAATGCTGCAAGGTCCAGTGAAGCATATTTAGTCGGGTAAACATTACAGAGAGCAAAGACGCTGAAGAGAGTCACCACTGATGACAACCTAAAGAAACATAGATCAGCTTTATTGGGTACACGTTGCTACCATGGCATAGGAGCCAATTTATCTTCATGACTGCTTTAATTCTTCGTGACAGAAACATACCTCAGACATTTTGGTTCATGTTGATGTGACGACGTCACAGAGTAGCTGCAGATTTGTCGTCTGCCTGTAGAGCAGGAGATGCTCTTGGGAGAAGGACGTAAGGAAGTGTGGAAGGAGATAAACAATGGGAGACAGCAACACCAGAAACTGGATCTGGAGAGAGATTAGCCAGTATTGTGGCACCGCAAAGTATGGTGAAAAAAAGTTTCCTAGAGTCCTTCTCATAATCAGTACAAGGGTGTTGAGTGGTCAGCTGCTGCTGCTACAGATGTGACAGACAATCATGAACCGCAGCAGAATCAAGTAAATGGGAGTTCAGCCAGAATGAACCTTTTTTATGCATTTTAGCAAAAGTGACAAAACAGAGGACGAAAAGAAGAAAACTTCAGAGAAAGTCGGCCTTAATTCCATCGTTCATTCTCCGCCACACTGTGGAAAATAGAGGCATATTTTCTGAACCCAAGAACAATTAGTTCCAAAGCCAGAACCACAA